CAGGGAGGGGACTGGCACCTGCAGGGATGTGAGGAGCTGCCAGTTTTCCTCCATGACCCATGATCCTCTTCTCCCTGGTTGGTGTCTGTGTGCCCACCTGTTCTGTCCAGTGGAAGCTGGCCCTGGCCGGCACCCAGCTGTGACCAGGTTCCCAGCCCCAGAGCAGCTGCGTGGGAGGAGGGGAGAGCGGAGGAGAGCGGAGGAGAGGGGAGGAGGGGGGGAAGTCTGAGCGGCCAGATGGGACTGTATCTGTTTTCTGTCCCAGGGCCTGTGCTCTCACGCTGCGGCTCGCGGGTTGGAGGCAGCATGACCTGCAGGGGGCGCTGCTCGGGGTCCCTGAGACCAGGCACACCTCACCGGGCTGGGAAGGATCCAGGCTCCATGGGGCAGAGGCAGGGCCTGCAGCTACAGAACTGAGGTCCCCATGTCCTTGCTCTCGGCTTCCGGGTGCCACCTGGACTCCCACCACGAGGTCCCTCAAAGCTGGCCCTGGCACGCCCCCCAACACCCTGAGGCTCTCTGGCCGCCCTCTGCCGGAGCCAAAGGAAGCCCGGCTGCTAAGGGCCCGGAGTTGGGGTCAGCCTGTGGACCAGGAGGTCACAGTCTGACTCTCGGGCGGGGCACAGGCCCGGGCTGTGGGCTGGATCCCCAGCTGGGGGCGTGCAGGAGGCCGCCGATGGATGATTCTCTCTCATCAGTTTCTTCTCTTTTTAAAACATGTTTTTATTGATTTCGGAGAAGAAGAGAGAGGGAGAGAGAGAGAGAGAGAGAGAGAGAGAGAGAGAGAGAGAGAGGGAGAGAGAAACATCAGTGATGAGAGAGGATCACAGATCGGCAGACTCCTGCACACCCTGCATTTGGATCGACCCCGCAATCCGGGCAAGTGCCCTGACGGGGAAATCTAACCGTGACTTCCTGGTTCATAGGCTGATGCTCAACCCCTGAGTCAAACTGGCTGGGCCTATCAATGTTTCTATCTCTCCCATCCTCTCTCTCAAAATCAATAAAAATATATTTTTTAAAAAATAAAGGGCTCAAGTGATTGGGCCAGGCCCACTGGTTAACCCCCTTGTGATGAACTCAGAGTCAGCTGATCAGTCACGTGATCACTTCTCTTGCCCCGTGACACGGCATGTTCATGGGCCTCACATCACCATATACCCTCTCTGGGATCAGGGCAGGGCACCTTGGGGGCCATTCCTCTCCAGACCCCCCTCAGGGACCTCACTCCCCCGGGGTTCACCCCGTGGGTCCTCGTGGCCCCTTGTCCTCTGCTCCCTCCACACTCAGTGTCCCCCCTGAATGGGGGGGGTGTGTGTGGCGGCTCCACCTCCTGAGGCTCAGGTCCCGCCTCCCTGGAGGCTGAAAGTGCAGGGAGAGAAGCCCAGCTCTGGGCTCCATGGGCCTGGGCTCCAGTCCCAGCTCCGCCCACTGTGTGACCTCGGCCAAGCCCTGCCTCCTCTGCCTCAGTTTCCTCACCTGGGCAATGGGTCTAGCAGCAGCATTTTACAAGGCTGCCGGAGGTCCCCAGGCAAGCACGTGCTCCTTACGTAGAAGGGGCTCCATACACGCCCAGGGTGACCTCAGGAGAGATTTGGGGGCACAGGGAATGCTTGTCAGTGAAGCCAGGAACAAGGAGCACGAGGGGGCAGGAGAAAGGCAGGCAGCATGGGGTGTGCTGGATGCTGGGGGTAGGGGGTGGGGGTTGAGGTCAAACTCAGGGTTCAGAGGAGTCCCTGTCAGATTCCTCGTCTCCTTCGTTTGCAACGTGGCAGGCCCCGGATGCCAGCCGCCTCCTGGAAAGCATTCATTTGCCACCAATGGTGTATTTTTAAAAATATAGATTTTATTGCTTTTTTACAGAGAGGAAGGGAGAGGGAGAGAGAGTTAGAAACATCGATGAAAGAAAAATATTGATCAGCTGCCTCCTGCACACCTCCTACTGGGGATGTGCCCGCAATCGAGGTACATGCCCTTGACCAGAATCGAAGCTGGGACCCTCCAGTCTGCAGGCCGACGCTCTATCCACTGAGCCAAACCGGTTAGGGCCCAACAATGGTTTACTGAGCACGTACTATATGCCAGGCTCGATCCTACCCCCTGGGGACTGAGCAGGAACCAAAGCGGACAAAGAGGCGCTCCCCATGGAGCTTACCGTCGGGCGATGGACAGGACACAGACAACGGCAGGTCTGCCTCCCGGTCACCAGGGGTCAGCGGTGCTGTGTCAGGATACAGAGCACCAGGGAGCGCTGTGAGGGAGGAGTGTGAGGGCCCCTGAGGTGGGGCAGGTAAGCGGGGGCTGCACAGAACAGGGACGGAGCACTGCACTGGGAGGGACAACGTGTGCAAGGGCGGGGGCAGGAGCTAGCTCCATGTGTCCAAGTGACAAGAAGGAGGACCAGGCGACAGAGAGGAGAGGACAGGGCCTGTGAGGGGGCAGAGGAGGGACAGGCTGGGCCCGCCTGCCCGCCCTCTGCCCGTGGCTTTTGTGCAGTCAGCTCGTCCCTCTGCCTGAAGCCCGGGCTGCAGGGTTACCGTCCCCTCGCACGGAGACGAGAAAACACGAGCTGCAGACGGTGAGAACTTTGCCCCGCTGGGTCCAAAGGTGCCTAACACCCACCCGGGGCCCTAGGGTGCCCTCACTTTGAAGACTTCCGCCTTTGGGCATTGGCTTGTCTCCTTATGTGGCGGGAACCGGAGCCCCATCCTTGGTCCCCTCTACCTCTTTCCACCCGATCCTTCCCACCGTAACCCACACCAGCCCCTCCTGCTCAGTCCCGTTTGGGAGGAAGGACAGGTGGGGTCATGCAGCCCTGGATTCAGCCCTGGGAACATAGGCAGCTGTGTCTGCTCCCTGCATGTATGCATGTATCTGTGCATGTATGTGCGTATATGTGTGCATATGTGTGTGCATGTATGTGTGCACAAACGCCGGAGGAGAACAGCCCGGGTGGGAGCAGGTCTCCTGAGTTGTCCTCCAATCGCCTGGATTATGAAAAACTTAGAAACGGGCTCCGGCGGGTCCCCGGAGCCCCCCACAATCTTGCCGGGCTTGCCTGCCCCTTCCGGCCGGCCGGGAGGTAGCAGTGCTGACAGGTGCTGGAGCGGGAGCTCGGACCCGGCGCCGTTCCCTCCCGCCGCCGGCAGGGGGCAGCAGGACACTGCGTAACTGAGAGAGTGAGCCGACCCCGGCGTCCCGCCCGCGGACCGTAACCTCTGGCCTCCCGGCCCCGACCCTCCAGGATCAGGAGGGGACACGGGTGGGCGATGGGGTCCCTGCACCCCGGGCTGGGCTGGCTCAGGCCGGCGGCGGGAGGGGCCCCTGCGCGGTTCTCCAGGCCGCGCCGCAGACCCCCGGCTCCCGAGGATCCGCCCCGTTAGCGAGCGGGGAGACGGGGGACGGGGGAGGCGGAGGGCGATGGCGGCGGGGCGCCGGGGCCCGCGGACGCGGTCCTGGGTGGGGACACCGCCCGCCTGCACGTCCCCGCCCGGGAGGCTGGGCGGCCCGCGCCCCGCGCCTGAGCCCGCAGCGGCCGCCAGGGGGCAGCATCGGCCCGCGGGTTCCAGCTCCTCCGCCGCTCCCTTCCCCGCCGACCCTCTGGGGCTGCGGACCCCCAGGGCCTGGCCCGGACCCTCCAGTCTCAGAGCTCAGCCCTCGGTTCCGCAGGGGACACGGGGTGAGGCGGCTATGGCCGTTGCACGTAGTTCTGTGCCTCAGTTTCCCCGCCTGCGATTGTCTCCAGCTCCCCTGAGTCCGGGAACGGCGTCCCGCGGGCTCTGCGCAGCTGCAGCGTCCCCCGCCCTGGTCCAGGGGCCGGAACGGCCGCCCGGGTCACCGCAAAGGTCCAGGGATTTGCAGGATTAAGGGGATCAGGGCCGGGGGCGGCGGGGGCCCAGGGGGCGGGCGGCTCTGAGCTCCAGGCCCGTCCTGAGCTCGGCTGGGGGGGACCCAGGGTGACTGCAGCAACGCCCCCCTCCGCCCCCCAATATCCCACTCTGGCGAGTCTGGGTCCCGGCTGGTCCTGGGGACTGAGCTCCCCAGTTCCATCCACTCGCCCCGGAGCGGGAGAGGGGCCTCCAGGCCTGAGGTTAGGCTCCTGGTCGCTGTCCCTGCGCCCCCCCCCCGCCCCCAACAGCCCGGGTTTCAGCCAAGCAGTGCCTGACACCCCCGCCGGCCTGACCTCCCGCCCAGCACAGGGGACCCCAAGACCAGAGGGGCCAGGCTGGGAGGGGAGGCAGGGACCCCTGAAGCCTGGAGTCCCCTCCGAGTCTGGGAGGTGCCCCATGTCCTGCACTGGTCTGGGTCCTGGGAAACTCAGAGAAGGGCTGGCGGGTCCCCTGAGCGCCCGCCCCCCCGCCCCCCCATCTGGCCGGGCCGCCGTCCCTTCCCGCCGCCGGGAGGCAGCAGTGTGACAGGTGCTGGGGCGGGAGATCGGACCCGGGCCTGGCTGCGGGCGCAGGGGGTGGCCGGGACCCGGTGCTGGGGGGGGGGGGGGGGAGCGCCAGACCAGGGATGGCTGGGTGGTCTCTCCCTCCCCCTCCTCAGACACTAGGCTCAGTGGCCGCCCGATCCGCACTGTCCATCCCGCCCCACCCACCCTCCCCGCGGGCGGAGCGGCCCCGCGCAGGTGTCTCCTCCGAGCCGCCCCCCGCACCCCCCAGCCCGGCCGCCGGGCGGGGAGGGCGCCGGGAGGGTGGGTGCGCCTGTGTGTCACGGGGAGGGAGGAGGGGAAAGGGAGGGGGAGCCGGAGGGGGAGGGAGCGCGCAGAGAGCGGCGAGGAGGAGGCGGGCGGGAGGCGGGTCCTACCTGGGCGCTCGCTCCCTGCGGCTCCGGGGCCGCGTCACCTGGGAGCCGACAAGTGCGGGCACATTGGCCGCGGCGCTCGGCGAGGCGCACGGCCCAGGCGCTGCGCCCGGACACCAGCGCCGCCCGCCCGCCGCGCCCGCCCGGCCCGGTGCCCCCGGTGCTCCGGGCTCCGGCCGCTCCGCCCAGCCCAGGCCCCCCGCCCCGGCCGGCGGCGGCGCCCCGCTCACCATGGTGGCCGCGCGCGCCCCGCGCCCGCGCCTCGCCCGCCGCCGGGGCCGCAGCGCCGGCTGAGCGGCCCCCGCCCCGCCCCGCGCCCGCCGCGCCGCGGTCTATGGCGCAGCCCCCCGCCGGATCCCCCCGCGCCGGATCCCCCCGCGCCGGATCCCCCCGCGCCGGATCCCCCCGCGCCGGATCCCCCCGCGCCGGATCCCCCCGCGCCGGATCCCCCCGCGCCGGATCCCCCCGCGCCGGATCATGCACAGAAACTCCCGCGAGTGGCTCTTCTACGTGTTCCTCTGCTTCGGCGTCCTCTACGTGAAGCTCGGGTGAGTGCGGGGCGGGCCGCCTCCGGGGTCTCCTCCCGGGAGGGAAGCTGGGCCCCGCGTGGCCGCGCGCGGCTCCCAGCTCCGGCCGCGGGCGCTGGCTCCCGCCCACGCCGCGCGGGGCGCAGCCGGACCCCGAGCGCGGGTCCCGCGAGGGGCGCCCGGGCCCGAGGGTGGGAGAGGCGGCCCCGGGCAGCGGCGGGTAGCGGCGAGCGCCCCGCGTGCTTCACCTGCTGGGCGCCGGCCCCGGGCGGACCGCCCTGCCTCCCCCGGCTGCGCTGGGCGCGGAGCCCGGCCGAGCGCTCGCCGCCCGGAGGCGCGCGGGGCGGGGGGCGGGGGCGCGCCGGGCGGTTCGGAGGCCCCGGCTCGGGGCGGGGGGGGGGGGGGACGCAGGCCGGTGCCCCGCCATGCCCGGTCCCTATCCATCACCGGGAGGGACGTGTTGAAATCACCTTGACAACCGGTCCGGCGCCGGGCCGGTCAGGCTCCGCGCCCCCGCCCCGGGCCGGGCGGCCCTCTCCCCGCTCCCCGGGGCGGCGGGCGGCGGGCGCCCGGCGGGCCGCGCGCGGCGGTGGCTCCGAGTCGTATTTCCACATTCCTGAAGCGCCGAGTCCCTACCTGTTGGGCTGCGCTCTCCCCGGGCGGCCTCCGGCTCGGCCCGCTGAGGGGGGCGGGGAGCGGTGCGCTCACTCCCCGGGGGCCCGGCCCGCGCCCCGGCCCCGCGTGCCTACTGTGCGCACCGGAGCCCGAGGCCGGTCCCCGCGGGGCGAAGCTGCGACCCCGGAGGGAGGCCCGGCCCACCGGTGCCGGTGCCGGTGCCGGGCGGAGACGCGGCTTCCCCCGAGGAGAGCCCTCGCCCACGGCCCCTCCGGCCCCTCACGGGGGGTGGGGGGGAAACTGAGGCCGGGAGGACAGGAGCCGCTGTCCTGGCCGCCGTGTTGCCCTGGGTCTGCGTGTGTTTTTGGAGGTGCCAGTTCGCAGGGAGCCTGCTGAGGGTGCGGGGTGGGCGGTAGGGAGGGAGACCGCTTCCTGGACTCTGCAGCGGCCCCTGCGGTTACTCTCTCTGTGCCCCCCAAAGTAATGGGCACCCCAAGGAGGCCCGCAGCATCTGCTCAGCACCAGGCCGCGCCCTCCCTGGCGCTCCGCAGTGAAGGGTTCAAACACCCAGCCAGGAGAGTGAGGGGCGCGGGAGCAACTGACTCTGGCCTCCGAGGGGCACCCTTCCCAGCACCCCTTCCCCCACGGGAGCCCTGAGAGCGCTCCCAGGAAGGGCTCTGTGAGACCCCCCCCCCCCCAGTGCCCAGCCTGGGTGCCCAGGGCGGCCCCCATGAGCCTCCTGCCCCCGCCCCCTGCCACGAGCCTCCTGCCCCCGCCTCCTGCCATGAGCCTCCTGGCCCTGCTGCAAATAGGACTGTGCGTCGGGGTGGAAGTTGGGGGCAGTGCCCCACACCCCTCCTCCAGGGGCTTAGGATGAGCTCTATAACTGCCCGGACCACCTGCTCTCATCTTAAAAATGGGGTAGCAGTGTCGCCTCCTTTCCTGGGTGCTGTGACGGTTAGTTCTGGGGGCCTCTGTGTGGGATTGGGGGGGTCCCCTCACACCGGAACAGCCTCTCTTATTGTTAATGCCGAGCGGGACCTCACAGCGCGGCCTGCGCCTCAGAACCCGAGTGCAAGAGGGTACCAGTGTGAGAGGGGGATGTTCCATGATCACAGCCTGCCTGCCCACACTGTGCACACACAGACACCCCCCATGGCCCTCAGCCAGTGAGGTCTCAGCCCCTGGGGGGGTCCCGGCCAGCAGAAACGGAGAACTAGGCCCTTAATCCCTTGGGATGGGGGTCCCCAGGCCAGATGTCCCTGGGTTTGCACAATTCTAAAGCATCGTTGTTGGGGAGTCCCTGTTTCTCAGCGGGGCACTGAGCAGCCTGGAGATCCAGCCCCAAAGAGGCCCAGGTCTGAGTCCCCTCTGTCCCCAGGACAGGGCCGTGGAGTCCCAAGCCCAGCCCTGCTCCAGGCCGCCTCCTGGCCTTGGGGCCGGAGAGGCAAAGGGGCCTGAGCGCCCTGGACCCCAAAGAATGGAGAGGAGGGGCGGGCCCCTCCGGTGTGGGGTGGTCTCCGTGGAGGGCGAGGCCGAGGGCAGGACTGGAACCTACCCCCCCCCCCCCCCCGCCATGCTGCCGAGGCCTCTGCTTCCTGGTCACCTGCCTGCTTGGTGCCCTCACCCAGCTCACAGACTCGGGGCAGCCAGGCTGGGCAGACAATGGCAGGTGGAGCTCAGCCTGTTCGGGCTGAAAGGGAATCCCTGGGAGGATCACTCACACTCACTGCACCGTCCCCTCAGAGACAGCAGGGGGGTGAGGGGAGCGGGGGGGGGGGGGGGCTCTATGCACCTGCTGGGTGTGCTCCCCTGTCATCCTCCCCCAAGAGACTCAGGCCCACCCTGCAGAGGCCAGTGCGCATGTGCACAGGTGAGCCCTGCGGGGGCCTGGTTGGCGGGAGCGGAGCGTGCGGGCGGGCGGGACCCACAGCGGGGCTCCCGGGACCCGCAGCCAGGCTCAGCCCGGAGGGCGCGCGGCCCGGGGCCTCTGTGCGCACCTGCGCCCCCGCCGCGGCCGCACATGCAGCCACACGCCGGCCCGCACACACCGTTCCGCAGCCCGAGCTGCCCCCGGGCCCCGCCCCCAGGCCGCCCGGCTGCCCCAGGTGCGCCCTCAGGCCGCCAGCGCCCGCGGCGCCCGGTTGCGGGACGGGGTCCGGGCCAGGGCGGGCCGGGCAGGCCCGGGGGCGGCTCCCGCGCGGTCAGCCTCCCCTTTAACACCGCCCGCGGGAGGCGCGGCCAATGGCAGCGGGGCCTCGGGAGGCTCGGAGACGTGAGGCCGCGCGAGTGACAGAGCCGGTTCCGACCCACCCACGGACGGACGGAGGTCGGGTCGGCGGCTGAGGCTCCCGCACCCCCTGCGGCCCCACCCGCCCCGCGCCGCCCCGGGCCATGCGCAGCCCTGGCGGCGGGGCTCCGGCCACCACCGCGCAGGGACCCGCTCGCCGGGGTCCCTAGCGCCCGCCGCCGCCGCCGCCCCACCGCGGGGAGGGCCCAGCCCGCCGCCCCCGGCCCAGGCGCCCTGCCCGCGGGGCCGGCCCAGCCCGCCGCGGCCGGCCCACCATGCTGCTGCTGTCGCCGCGCCGCGCGCTGCTGTCCGCGTACTGCCCGCAGATCCTGCTGCTCCTGTCCAGCGGCAGCTACCTGTGAGTGCCCCTCTCCTCCCCAGGCGGGGCTCCCCCCCAGTGCGGAGCCCCGGGGAGGGAGCGGGGAGCCGGGGGGCACCGGTGCCCAGCATGCGCCAAAGTAGGGGTGCTTTGGGGGGGCTGGCCGGCCTGAGCCCCGAGGTGGAGGGCGGGGCGGGGAGGGAGCTTGCCAGGCAGATACGGTGGCTTCGGGTCGGTGGGAGGAAAGGTGGCTTCCAGAGGCCAGAGGCCAGGCTGCAGGCACCGCCCAGGGCCGGAGGGCTCCGGGCGGGCAGAGGTGCCCTGCACCCCCAGCCGGTCCTGGACCAGCTGTCCCCCTCCCTCCCCACAGACACCCATGGGGCCCTCACCGGGTGCCACATTGGAGAGCGTCCCAGCACGCACCTACTCCCCGGCGGGGCCTGGGCGCACACGTGCACGCCCTCCCCGCAGGCAGAGCTCCGCGGTGCCCGGAGTCTGCGGCTTCTCCTCCTTCCCCCGGGGCGGCCCCTCCCTGCCCTCCCTGCACCTGGGGTTGAGGGGAGCAGAGGGAGCGTGTGCAGCTCCCGCTGAGGGGAGCCGGGTCCGGCCCGGGCAGCTTCACAGAGCGTGGGCCAGCGATCGGGGCCCCGGCCGGGCGGTCCGGGCGGGCAGGCCGGCCGGGGAGCCGAGGGGCACGTTGGCGCAGCGGTGGTGGCTCCGCTGGGTTCCTAATGGGACGCATATGCTCTGGCCTCCGATTTGAAAAGAAGTTTGATTTATGGAACCGCCGTTTGGGGGAATTTAAGCTGGATGCTACTGATTAAACCTCAGAGCCAGCGCGCGGCTCCCGCCCGTCCGCCCTCCTCCCTCTCCCCCTCCTCCCTCCCCCCTCCCCTCCCCCGCCCCCTCCTTTACACGCGGGCCACGTCCGGGGTCGCCTACCGCGGCCTTCCCGCCCTGCGCGCCCCTCCCCCAGCGGCCCGCGCGGTTCTAATGAACGGCCGCCCCCACCCCCTTCTAATAGCGACACAGCCAATTCCTCCTCCAGCCCCTAGGAAATTACTATCCTACCAGTTTTCCTGCTATAAATAGTCGCGCATCTTGAAACAAAAGTTCGCAACCACAGCCAGATGCTGCGAGGCCGCGGTCTGCCGGGCTGTGGGACATAATTACAAGGTCCGGGCGCGGAGAGCAGCCGCTGCGGACGCTTCGCCGGGTGGGGGAGCGGGCGGCCGGCAGGCGCGGGGCGGGCGGGACCGCCTGAGGGTCCTGCTGCCGGGGCTCCCGGGACACCGACCAGCTCAGCGGCCCTGGATCCCGGCCTCAGGGTCTCAGAGGTCTAGGGGTGGCGGACAGCAGCCCCCCTCCCCAAAACCCCGCACCTCAGCCTCCAATCTGGGGACCCACAGTTGCGCTGCCTGAGAGCCGCTCTGCCCTGGCTCCTGGGGGGCAGTGAGCTCTGAGGCAGGAGGGGGGCCGGGGGCTCAGAGCCGGGGGGCGGGGCCGCAGCAGAGGGCTGTGGGGCAGGTGGCGGCCAGTCGGCCTCCGCAGACCCCAGGCTTTCCTGGGGGTTTGGCCCCCAAATCCGGGTCCGCAGTGGCCACCCTCTGTGCCCACATGGGCTCTCTCCACCGTGCATGCTGCCCGCTTGGTTGGCGGAATTCTCCTACAGCAGCAGCTTTCCCAAGTGTTCCTGGGCTGGCACTGGGGTCTGGAGCGGGCACTGCCCCCTGCCCTGCCTGCCTCCAGCAGCCGGGCCCAGCCGCCCGCCAGCCTGAGCTGCAGCCCAGGCCTGGG